AGCGGCCGCAGACCCCAGGCCTGCAGGCATTTGCCAGCGCGTCCGGCGAGGAGGCCGCGAACTGCCGCGCCCGTCAGATGCGTAAGCCCCATCTGCGCCCTCACTACATCATTGCCCCGCCGCCCCCAACACCACCACCACCACCACCGAAAGGGGAACGGCGATCATTTTACAATCGACGACGATGATAGTGGCATTGCTTGTAACGACCTCGTTATACTCACGAAGTTCGCTTTTCGAATGACGGAAACTTGAGAAAATTTCGGTAAAGGTGATGACCTTTACGAACTAGATTACGATCCCCGTTTTGTAGAAATGAGTGGAATACAAATGTCGAGTGTGTAGAAAATTGGGTCTGCAGCGACAATAGTTTGTCAGTGCTGAATCTGAACATGATAATACTGGAGCTTCGTCCTTTTTGGTGGCATGACGTCAGCTGCATCGTAGGCTGTGAAGGACTAAGTATGAGGATATAGGCGTAACATTTAGTTACGGTATATTACGTAACATTAAGTTATGGATTAACTTCTCAGAATATTTGCATTTTTTCAGTTAAAATCGAAATTGTTTCGGTGTTTATGTATTTTTTTAAGTTTCCGGAAATCTGACGAAATGAGTATTCCTTTAATTTATACATATAAATGAAATATGTTATATAGATAAGTTGGAGAATTTAACATATCATTTAACATTAAGGTTTTGCTAAGTTTTTGCTCCCTTGTCGACTTATTGTCGATTGACAGTGAAATTGAATCTCAATATTTACAGATGTGAACATATTAAAATTCTCTTTTTGTGTATCAATAAGACTCTTTATCATGATTGGCAACTTGGCAATAGGAGAAGCAATGAAGCTGATTAATGTTTTTGCTGCGTTCTGGTGTCTAGGGAGAACCATTCACAGATGATTTCGTTAATGTTGAAAGAACTCCGCTTGGAATGATGCTGTGTGCACTCCGCTTGTTCTGCATTTTGCTTTGCGGTTCGTGTGGTTTCCGGTGCTGATGTCTGGTGTGGCGTCTGGCATCATCACATGGCCACACAGAGGAAAGCTGTTCTCGGTTTTCCTTCTTCAAGAGTCGTAATCTAACGCATTTCTGGTGAAAGAACTAATGCAGTCACATTGTTACTAGTAAACAATGTAAGCGTGTTAGTTAATGCAAATTTGCGAAAAGCGATGCTTTAACAAAGAACAATCTTTGTGTAGGAATCAAACTGACGCCATTTCCTTTTGCGTTTTTGTTATTGTCAATAAGTCAAAAATAATAATTTATCTGTCTCAACCAGAACTCCAGCGGCCAGCTACTCTGATCTGTAGATTTTTGAGGTTTCTCCTATAAATACCAAGTGATTACCAAAGACAATTTCCCAACAAATGGGTCTCTGACAGCGCACGTTCTTTCTTTTAGTGTGTACGTAGTGTAATTCACTTTTCCCTGTTTACACACACACACACGCGCTTACATGCTCTACAGTACTGCACACGTTGGGAGGCCAGTCGATAGCTTAGAGCTTGAACTAGCTAAAGCACCCCCCCCCCGCTGGGGGAGGTACCTGGAGCTTTTTCCTGTTTGTGGTAAGGATGCAACATCGATGTAGATGTTTTTAAAACATCGATGTTTTCCAAACATCAATGTATTAACACCGATGTTTTTTTAACATCAATGTTTCTTCTTTTCCGAAGTTTTATTTCTGAATGAAAAAATCCCATGACACACTACTGTAAAAGTTAAAACATGAAATAATTACTGATAGTAACAATGTCAGTTCATGTGTTGTGACCGAAGGGACGGTGTACTTGTACTACCGTCATCCACCAAACTCTCTCGCCCGAGGTGACCTCGATGCCCTTATATTTCCTCATTCTTCATATTCATTTCGCAAAAGGGTGTAGGGCCTGCTCCTTCTTCTCGTACCCTTATTATTCCTATTTCGTGCTTACTTCTCGTACCTGTACCGTTTATTATTCGGCGAATTAATAAACACAACCCTTGTCTAATTAAATTTAAATGCATACAAAATTTTATGTCGGAAGTTACTAATCCAGTCCAAAAATCATAGATGTTGAAAAACATCGATGGTTTTTCGTCGATGTGTTTTGAACATCGATGATTTCATTGCGAACATCGATGTTTGCTAACATCACCAGTTCGTGGAGTCCGCGAGCGCGGGAGTTGGCCTTGCGCCGAAGCGCGGCGCGCCGTGCCAGCGCGCGCCGGATGCGGCGACGCGATGCGACGCGACGCGACGCGACACGACACGACGCGCCTGCGACGCACGTGTGCCGTCGCCCCCGCCACGGCTTCGAGAGCCGGCGGAGCTTGGACAGGCGCTTGGGACCGCGACCGCGACCGCTGCCACTTGCCACTTGTCGCTGATCTCCGAAGACTGCGACTCTGCTGACCCTTTTTTTGCTCTGTCCGGTTTCGTTTTTTGGACGGGGGGCCGTTTTCTCGGGTTCTCTCCTCGCTCCCCGCGTTTTTTTCTTTCCTTCTCGTTCTCTTCTTATTAATTCCTGCTTATTATATGGAGCTTCATTTTCTTAGTTCTCTTGATTTTTTAAACATTTTTTTTTTCTTCTGTAGCAGAATTTTCTCATAATGTTGCTTTTGAGGGTTCCATTCATTGTGTTGATATTGTTAACGCATTTGAAGTATTCATTAATCTTCCTAATTTGTTTAATTTCTTTCATAACATTCGTCTGTTCGTAAGGATTTCACTCCTATGATATCGCCTCTTGGGATCCTTTCTCTTTTTGTCCTTTCTTGTTCTCAAGCCCCCTCTTCTTCGGACCAAATTGACCGAGAATGGAATTGTTTCCCCCCTTCTCTCTCTCCCCTCTCTCCCCTCTCTCCCTCTCTCTCCCTCTCTCTCCCTCTCTCCTTCTCTCTCCTTCTCTCTCCTTCTCTCTCCTTCTCTCTCCTTCTCTCTCCTTCCCTCTCCTTCTCTCTCCTCTCTCTCCTCTCTCTCCCTCTCCCTCTCTCTTCCTTTTCTCTTTTTCTCTCTCTTTTCCTCTCTTTTTCGCTCCCTTTTCTCTTTTTCTCTCTCTTTTCCTCTCTTTTTCGCTCCCTTTTCTCTGTCCTTTTCTCTCCTTTTCCCTCATTTTCTCTCTCCTTTTCTCTCCCCTCTCTCTCCCCTTCCCTTACTCTCTCACCGTCTCCCTCCCTCTTTTTCCCTCTCTCTCCCTCTTTCTCTCCTTCTCTCTCCCTCTTTCTCTCCTTCTCTCTCCCTCTTTCTCTCCCTGTCTCACTCTCTCTTCCTCTCTCGCCCTCTCTCTCTCTCTCTCTCTCGTTTATTGCTACTGCTCCTACCGCCCATCATTACCATAACCATCATTATCAGAACCCATCGGTAACACGATTTTCTGCTCGATTTTGAAGTGCTACTTTCCACGTTCTGTCCAGCTTTTCGTTCCTCAGTGCCCTCGGACCTCCCCCACCCGTCTCTTCCAGCGGAAGTGTCGGCGGGCGCAGGTGGCTACGCGAGGAAGTCTTCAAAGCCGAAGTACACGTGCGCTCGGCCTCAGATCGCGGGCCTGTTTCTTCGTTACGTGAGCCTTTTTTATTCTGAGCGGGGCCGCTCGACCATCGGAACGGCGCCTCGGCGCTGCGGTTTCCGTCGACAGCGGCGGTGTGGGAGTGGGGGAGAAGGCGTCTGCCACGTCTCGGTTTGTGGCGGGGCAACACGTGGGAATTAATGGGCTAGCGACGCGCCAGGTGGCGTTGAAATTCGTACCCGTGAAGGTTACCACGAAAATATCTGGCAGCCCGACTGTATCTGTGGACGGCGGACGACGAGCGCGCCTGTTGTAAGGACGGCTTCCAATGGGCCTTTTTTTTCGGGTGGTGAAGAAGCATTTAGTATCTCCTGACGGGGAATTTCCGGTCGAAACTTGAGGAAAGGTGTGTGTGCTTTGGACGCGATGCGCTGGCAAGCGGCGGAGCCTGCGGGCACGTGTGGCCTGAATGAATTCTGCCAAATTGTTTTGCTTGGCTCGTGTTTCGAATTTCCATTCATGATACAAATATTCATTGGCGCATTCAAATATTTGAATCACATTCTAATATTGTATATGATGCTTCCATAGCAAACACAATACTTACCAAATATGTCCCATACTCTCCCCCACAAAGTAAGCGAAGTTTTTTGCCCAAGCTTGTGAGAGGCGTGGTTTGCAGCCCTACTTATAATAGTAAATTATTGTGACTGCATTGTCATTGAATACATTAATATAGACGTAAAACATCATCGAAGCTTATTAGAAATGTGTAGTTTGGGTGGGGGGTGCAATAGTCTTTCTTCTTTAATACCATCATGAGGGTCGGCGAGTATGAGGGACGACATCATAGGTCGAGGAGCTCGTAGTAAACATCTGAGACCGTCCCCAGGACAGTCGCCAAGGATCAAACTTTTATCATTCCCGCCGCTGGGGCGTATGTGCGGCGTCCGACTACCACAACACCGGCTCTCGGTTGCCGCCTTCTGCCGTGTCAGGCGTCTCCGCGCCGCGCCTTCACGGCTTTGTCTCTTCCGCGGCTGCCACCGCCTGCCTTGTTATGCCGGCCGCTCCGTGGCTCTGCTGACGACGGCGCCTGTCCCGCCCACCCCGCCCAACTGCACCCCCGCCCACCTCGCCCACCCCGCCCAACTGCACACCCCGCCCACCTCTCCCAACCACCCCACCCCACCCGCCCAATTGCCCATCCCGCCTGCCCTGCCCCGCCGATTCGTCCACCCCATCCCAGCCGCCCCGACTGACCCGCAAGCTACTCCGGGCGTCCGCTCCGTGCGCGCCCTCGCCCAGTTTTATAGAGGCGCCCTTTTACGGCCGGGGACAATTTGCGAGCGCCCGAGCACTGGCGGCGGCAGGGTGCTCGCGCGGCGATTGCGGCGCGGCCCTTTAGCACGGCCACGCCACCGCCCAGGCTCGTCCCGCCTCGTCCCGTCCAGACCCACACCGTCCGGCCCCGCCTCACCGCGGCTTCTCGGGCGCGCATCTTCCTGACCCTCCGGCACACCCTTAACCAGTCTCGGCCTCGGCTCACCCTCCCGCTCCGCACATGCTCGTCCCGCCTCGTCCCGTCTGGCCCCTCCCTCCAGCGCGACTTCTCGTCACGCCTCTTTCCGGCCCTCCGACACACCCTCGCCTCACCTCGCCTCGCCCGCCCGCCGCCGCACACGCTCGTCCCTCCTCGTCCCGCCCGCCCCGCCCTCCATGTGCTTCTCGTGACGCCTCTTTCCGACCTTCTGGGCACACGCCACGCCTCGCTTCGCCTCGCTATCATCTCCGCACGACTCCTGCTGTCGACCCGCGCCGCCGGCTATCGCCCTGCACCCCCGGCCGCCCGGAGCCCCCCCGGACCCTGTGGCGAAGGCTTCTGAACTCAAATACACTCCACTGCGTTGCTGCGCGGACTTGGGATGATGTATTCAACTACAGTGAAGTAGGACTTTTTTCTGCGTTTTTAAGGCTTTGATTTAATTAGATTGTCCTGGAAAATTAGATTTTTTGCGATGAATTATTTTCACGTCTCTTATATTGTACTGAAATGGCAGAATCCAAAGTTTTAACCTCACCAAATACTGTATCAGCACCCCGCCCCGCCTGCCTTGCCCGCACTACGCACCCAGACACCCGCCCGCCCCGCATCACATTTTGTATTCACTACTCCTCGAACATATCTCATCTCGATTTCCATCGCCTACTTCGTCTTTTCATCTTCGGTCTCGCCTCACCCGCCCCGTCCCGCCTCCCCCCCTCCCGCCTCCCCCATCCGTCCTTGCAACGCGTTGAACCTTCACCTCGTCCATCTCGAGCCCGCAGCGGCCGAAAGCCTTCCACGCAGGCCACGCTCGCCGGCCGGTCGATGCATCGAGTGCTCAGCGAAAGCGATTCCGTGCGTGGAGGGGGTGGAGGTGGAGGGGAAGGGCGTTGCGCGCCGGCTGCTTTAACGACACTGTCAGGCGGCGCCTTCTCGTCATTTCGCGGAAGCCGCTTCTGCCTTCGTAGGCTGCGTGCTAAAACACCCGAGTGGTCGGCGGTAGGAACACCAGTGCATTCGCTTGGCGATGCTTCTGCAATTGCCTTGCGGCCGTGAACACGCATTCCTATAGATTAGGAGTGTCCAACTTGCACGGTCTCAAGGGTCACAATTAAAACAATTAATATGGTTGCGGGCCGTATTTTCATTACTCGGACGATCCATACCTGACATCCCTGTGGCACTCCTGACACCTGTGTGGTTGATCTCGGTACTGTGTCCGGCTGCTCTGAAACGGGGGGAGCACAGTAGAATGTTATTTTTTTATTTCTGAATTTTCTGCAAACAATATTTAAGTCACATATTTTGACATTAAAGGGGATGTTGACCCCAGCAGGCCGCGTGCGCTAGGGGCACAATGCTCTCGCCAGATATGGATGCAGGGGACTTTTGACTAATAACCTTTCGCGGCCCACAGTAAATGTCACCGCGGGGCGCCAGTTGGACAAACCTGGTATAGAGAGATTACTACAAGAAGGGACCGCTTTGACAGTTACCGCTTGGGCACTGCTGGCAACAGGGGTTATATTCATGCACTCATTATGTCAGTGCGTTCATTCACATTTAGCTCATTTGTAAATGGCTTCAACACAATCTCTTGCAATGTTATCGCCCTGCATGAAGTGATTTTTTGTATGAAGAGATCAAGAGTCCTGTCAAAGTAGAGGTCCTTTCGTAGAGAATTTCCTCTATAGCTGTCTACGTCGTTATTTATTAATTTGGCTACTTTCTGGAAAAGCGGTAAATCAGTGAATATCATTGCTCTGGAAAAGTCAGGGAAATATCAGAGAGTTTGTAGAAGAAGAATCGTTAGAAGTCGAGAAACATTTTGCGAGGGTTATAAAAATATATATTATACCTTATAAAACATTAGAATATTTTAGAAGAAAATTTTATCAAATAGAAATAGAATTTGTATTTGATAAAAAACTTGTTCATTCGTTTTTTGTCGCGTCAAAATCAGATAACTGATGAATTTGATTCAGGCTAGCCATTATATTTTCTTTAAGTAGTACAAAATTACAATTTTTTAAATTAAAACTGCATTGTAAAACCTATACAAGTCAAGAAAATTGGTTCCGGGAAATGAATGACCAGTTTACTCAGTGTCCTTTTTCCTTTAATGGATCAATTTCACGACGACGCATTTTTTGTCGTCATATTTCTTATAGCTTTCCGTTAGAACATACTTTCCGGTATTTTGTCTTCTATCCACACTTTCAAAGACAGGAGAGAATTGTTTTTTCGAAACCAATTTTTGTGTCGGTACTCTTAATTAGTTCGCTCAACACAACTTTTATATTTATTAAGGTACATTCACGGAAACAAAGATAACTAAGTGGATATCGAGACTTATGCACAAACTAAAGTGATCATTGCATAAAACTAGAGAGTTCACCATTGTCATGTTTGCTACATTAGAATATTCTGTGCATATTCTGTTTCAAATGTTAGCATGATATCAATGTACTAGCTTTATTTTTTTCTTCTGTTGCAGGTTGGTATTTTTTCGGCTTAGATCTACAGACCTTTTTGAAGTGGGGTGAGTTCATGTTCAGTATTTTATAAGAACTGAGAGCTTTAAAATACGTAAATATGTAGCTATACCTTTCGGTATTCTTCACGTTTTGTTTTTCTTCTCTCTCTCTCTCTCTCTCTCTCTCTCTCTCTCTCTCTCTCTCTCTCTCTCTGTCTGTCTCTGTCTCTCTCTGTCTCTCTCTCTGTTTCTCTCTCTGTCTCTCTGTGTCTCTCTCTCTTTTTCTGTCTCTCTGTGTCTCTCTCTCTTTTTCTGTCTCTCTGTGTCTCTCTTTTTCTGTCTCTTTCTCTGTCTCTATCTCTCTGTCTCTCTCTCTTTCACTCTCTCCCCCTCTCTCTCCCTCCCTTATTTTTTTTGTATAATTCTGTCCTTCACAACTGTTCTTTTCCACTCGTCTCGTACTGCTCTGCCTCCAGTATTAGTGCCGCTGCCACCGTTCCTGCACCGTCACCGCAGGCGTAGCTTGTCCTCTCCCCCCTCCACTTGCCCGCGACCGCCGCGCCCCCGGCGACCGATATTACAGCCAAGGTGGCTTAGACGTGCATTAAAGAGACCTAATTGGTTTCGAACTTGATAGGTCGTATAACTCCGCCGTATAATTAAGCGCGAGGTGTAGTCGTGACGAGAACGACAACGGATGGGTCTCTTCTGCTCTTGCTTAGTCACAGACCCCCCCCCCCCCCCGGTCGCCCCGTCGTCCGCTCTTCACGCCGGGAATTCGCGCCCTTGTTCCGGATGTTCGGTTTTACGGCTTCTTCGCGGAAAGGAGTTCGGGGCGATTTCATAGAACCGAAACGGTAGCGGAAAACGAGCCAACTTCCTGTGCGCTTTAACTGTTTTGTAGGCTACTTTTCCGCCCCGCTTCTTACTTACTCTGAACGGGAAATACTAATATTGCCCTCGACAGGGAAAGTTTTTTTTTATCTCGTGAGTGGATCTTTCCGCAGTAGTTTCCGTGGTTTATTGCATTTAAATTCCTTCGGTGTATCGATTTTTTTCCGTTCCTTCTATGTGTTGCTGGTCATCCAGTTCACTCCCTGCGGACTTATAACTTATGCATGAGCTGCGTGGCCCTGTGAATCGAAATCGTTATGTATATTGCAAAGGAGGGCTCTCTGCGGGGGAGTAGGTGAATGTGTACGTGCGTGCATGTGTGTTTGTAACTCAAACACTCGCCCTGTTTTATTATTTTCTAAAAAAGAAACCAGACCGAAGCCCACGCTAAATTTGAGTTTCAGAGTCCATTAAAACTGCGTTTATCGGACAAAAGAGGAAATAAATTGTTGAAGCCGGTGGCCACAGGCCCGTGAATCGACTTTAAAAACAAGGGCGGCCGTCTCCGTAAAGCATTGCTGCAACTTTAAAATACAAAATTCAAAACATATTGGTACACAAATTCAGTCTTGGTTATTTATCGTAAAAATTCTAATAATTTATTTGCATCTACATGTGTTAAAAATGGTCCCGAAAAGTTCCTGATAATTGAGTACTACAATGAACAAAATTAGGAAGTGCAAGAAAGTAAAATAAAAATAAAATTTGTCATATTTCTTATGTACACATAGTTTGACTAAATAATTGTTATTTGATTATTTTTAAAGATACATGTATGTGTGTATAATTAAGGAAACAGAATAAATTTTACCATTCCGTGATAATGAAAACGTTCTCTATCAAAACACGCTGATCGTGATCGTGTCTGACATGATCGTCAACTAGACCCGAACATGGCGTACTAAATTAAAAATGCACGGGCGGGGGGCAGGGGGCGTGGCTGCATGAATCGTGCGCTTCCATCCGTTTGCCCAGCAATGAAAATTCGGGCGAAACAGCACCAGCGCCGCGCCGCGCCGCGCCGTGCCTCGCGTGAAGGCCAGGGAACACGGCGAGCGACAGGGCTCCCCCCCCCCTCCGCCGCAACCGCCGCGTGCGTCTAATCTGCGCTCTAGCGGCCTCTAATTGCATTAATAATTCACTGATGAATCCGCATTGGGGCGCGGTAGGCAGCCAGCGGCTCACATGAAGACGCGCGATCGATATTTTTTACCCCGCCCACTGCCCCCGCCCCGACCCACCCCGCCGCCCCGTGGCCTCATTAGCGGAGATATCTGGCGCGATTATTTCTGATCCTTCTTTTTTGTTTTCGCGGGGGCGGACGCGGCAGATGGGCGTGTTGCTGCGCTCGTTTTATGGTTGTCGCGTGCGGTCGTTAGAATTCATAATTCGGGCCGTTTCTGCACCTGGAAGTACGCGTGCGCTGGGCCGCGCGAGGAAGTTTATTGGGCGTTTTGTGCGGTTCCTTCTCCTCGTTCCGTTTCATTCACTTCTTTCGCGTTTGCTTGGCCTTCGTACACCCCTTTTGTAGGTATATGCCTTTCATTTTTTGATTGCTTGATTGATGTGGATTAATATTTATTAATATTGATTTTAATTTTATATTCCTTAATAAGTTTTATTCATACCTGTGCACCGACACTTGTGTAGGAGACTTCAACCTAGTGTTTTCGTGGATTATTGAAGGGATGTTTTATCAATTTTAAGTAGAAATACTGTTGTGTGTATAATGTTCATTCTACCGTCCGACACAAACGCATGCTAGATACATTATGTGTAGCGCAAAACGTGTGTTTCTAGAATGCAAACGTTGCACCGCCACCTCAGTGGATAATGAATGTTCGTAAAACCATACTCTTAAAAGACGATCGATAGAAAGATAGTTTATGTGCTGTCGGACCTTTTTTATAGTAACGCTTGTCAAGATTCTTGAGAGACAAAATAAAATTTTTTTCATTAGCATCAAAATATCACATTACCAAATGTGCAAAAAAAAAAACATCAGTTTCCGCTATTTGAAGAAGTGTCTTCCTTCTCAGATCCCTTTATGCCCTTGACGTCTCCTTTAAAGCGTGCTCCAGGAATAAGCAAAGGAAGGTAACTGGTAACTTCTTGACCCAACGTCAATGTCGCTTATTCCGTCTAAGCGGCCGAGCAACTTCCCGGCCGTCGCCTTTTCCCGCAGCGCGGCGTTCGCGGACGCACGCGATCCACCCTCGCAGCCAGCGTTCCGGAAATTAGCTGCGGCGCGGACGAACTGTCGGCGGCGTCTTCTCTCCGCCGCCTCTCACTCGCAGCTTCCTCCGAACTTTCGCTCGCCCCCGCCCCCCGCCCCCTGCCCTGCAGCCCTGCCTTGATGCCGTCGCTCCGCGTCGACTCCGGCCCCGCTCCAACCCGCGCTGCCGCCCCTTCCATCGACGCTGTTGACGTGTCTTCCATCTCCGCTGCCGTCAGGCTTGCACACCCGTTGCTGCCACGTCTCCACACTTTCTGCCGCCACGTCTCCACACCTTCGCCACACCCGCTGCCACCCGTTTCCACACCCGCTGCCACTCCTTCCATTAATGCTGCCAACGTGCTTCCATCTCCGTTGCCGTCAGGCTTGCTCACCCGTTGCTGCCACGTCTCCACACCTTCCGCCGCCACGTCTCCACACGCGCTATCGCCTCGCGTCCACACCCACTGCCTCGCCGCTACTCCCGCAGCCGCCCGCCCCCACACTCGCTGCCGATTGCTTCCTCAACCACTGTCACCCGCCTTCACACTCCCTGCCGCCTCGCCTCCACAACCGTTTCTGCCGCGCCTCCACACCTTCTGCCGCCACGTCTCCACACCTTCGCCACACCCGCTGCCACCCGTTTCCACACCCGCTGCCACTCCTTCTATTACTGCTGCCAACGTGCTTCCATCTCCGCTACCGCCACCTTGCGCACCCGCTGCTCACACGCCTCCACACCCATTCCGCCTCGCCTCCACACCCGTTGCCGACCGCCTCCACACCCGCTGCCGCCTCTCCTCCATCCCGCTTCCATCCATGCTGCCTCCCCTTCCATCAATGCCCTTCCCCCAATCCTATCACCATGCTTCCATACCCGCTCTTGCCACCCCTTCACACCCGTTTCCATCCCTGTGCCTACCAACTCTGTCTCCGCCTCCATTTCCCCGCCCGCATCTTTACCCCGATCTCGTCCTCGCCTGCGTCTCCATCTGCTCCCTTACCACAATCTCGACCCCGCCTCCACCGTCAATTCCTTCCCCGCCGCTACTCCACCGGCGCACACGGGCTCACCCCCACCCACGCCTCCACCCCCGCTGTCGACCCGCCCCCGCCGCCACTATCACTCCGGCCTCGCTCCGGCCACCACCGCCGCCGCCGCCCATCGGAAACGAGAAAAATTCGTGAGCGGCTGCAGCGGTCGACAACTTTGTTTGCTACCGCCGTAATTAGATGTTCCATTAAATATGAGCGCTCGCCGGCGGGGAGAGGCGGGCGGCCGGGCGGCCGGCCTGCTGAGCCGCACGAGGGAGCCGGCGAGAGCGCTGGGCGGCTCGTCGGGGATTAACTGCCGGCGAGCCCTCGTTAATTATGCGGAGCGCCGGCTAATTGATGGGCGAAAACAAATAATTAGAATTAGGACTGTCTGCGGTCCGCCTGGACCAATTTTGCTCTGCCGCCGAGCACAGTCTCGGGCACTTCTTGAACCGTCGCCGTCTTGACATCTTCATCCCGTTCGCAATCAGTCAGCATAACGTACCTTTCAAGATGACTGGTATAAAAGAACAAAAATAGCATTTTGTGTAAATTGCTAAATAAAGTTAATGAAATGGTTGGTTGCTGGAATGAAGTTGTTAATTTTGAATCACGTTTGCGAATATTTCGCATTGCGAAATGCGTTTCGTTGTGCGTTTCGTGTGTTTTTTTATTGCTGCTGATCACGTCCCCCGCATATAAAGTGAGCTTCGCTGGTGTACGTTCGTCGAGTCTGTTGTCATTTTCCAGTGTATGGCTTCAAATTAGTTCTAACAGTAAAATGAAAAGGGGTGCGCTTTTTATTTTATTATTTACTCAACTGGTGATTTTCCTAGAAATTTATTGAAACTATCGCTCTTATCGCTCTGTGAACACGAAATGTATACGCGTATGTGAAATTGATTTTTTTTTAGTGGTGGAAGATTTACTTCACCATGTTTCATCGCGAACGTTGGGTATCTATATATTTTTCAAATAAATTTCTTCGTATTCACTCAAGCGGAAATCTCGATTACCAGAATTGGAAAAAATGACGTAGCTAGTAGGAAATCTGTGTATGCTTGACTGGCTCCGTTACACGATGATAAATCGAGTCGTGATTTCTCGCTAGAAACGTGCACACGTAGACACACGTGTTTGCGTTATTTTATGTGAAAACAAACAATTGTGCAATATCTACTAATACGGGCGCGAGGAGAAGTCAGGGCACGAATATCTAAAGGCGTGTGTTATGAGTCTGATGCTAGAGGGAGAGCATATATCACATAAAGGAAAAGGTTCTTGATTTTTTTGTCTCCACGTACGACTTTCTGTAAAACAGCCGAAGCCACCGTTTACACGAACCACCAAAATCGAAATATAATGGAGGCGTTCGCAGCGCTTCTTTTCCGTCCTTTTTTTTATGTGCGATTGCCACTGCCTTGAAAGCTTCCTCCATTAGTCGGGTTTTCCCCGGAGTTTTTTATCGCCCGCGCCGTGAGCATGGCCTACCGCCGCCTCTCCTGCCGCTCCGCGGGTCGCTCTTCCCACGTCGGCGGCGCGGTACCTGGAAGAGGCCTGTTAGCGCAGCCCAAACCGCGTGAGGATGGAGAGCAGACGTTGCCCGAGACAACAGAGGCGAGAGAGGAAGGCCACGGGAAAGAATCGATTCTGCGTAGCGTCGGCAATCTAAATTACAACTGTTTTCCTCGTAGTTTCTTACTAAATATTGAGATCAGATAGTGTTGTACATTTTTTTAAAGGTATTATATTCAAATTTTGAAATAATACACAATTGATAACCAAAAAAAAAATAATTAAAAATTGTAATACTTTAAAACCCTTTTTAACTTATCTCCGAAGAATTTAACCAGCATTACGAAGTTAACCCAATTGTACTTCACTTGATGGTGAGGTCTTAAGTGTATTGACCCAGGGCTGCTGTTCGGTTTATTGATCCATCATGTGACTAATTATTTAGGTTCTTATTGCGTGACGATGTAGTGCTGGTAGTGAGAAACTAGCGCACCATTTGTGTTTCAGTGAGAACACACGCATGGGACAATCCATTTTTGTGTTCCAACATCTCCAAAAAAAATTAATATTTTTTGAATAAATGTCCTTATATATTCGCTGTTCAAAGACAATTCTATTTTGTTTATTGTACCTGGTTTACAAATGGCGGTTATTTGCGCTTCAGGCCATATGCCTGTTTTCGAGTTTGCAGTCATTTACTCTTCTAAAATACTCAGCTGTGGGTTGTTTGAACATTCTAGAAAAAAAGCATTGGATTCAGTATACTTTGACATACAAATAGAAATATTACTTGCATACCTTCTAAGCTTTTGTAATATAAATATATTTTAAAACATTTTTTATAAACATTTGCAACCAAATCTATGGAAAGCGAATAAACGAAATTCGATTTTTAGAGAATACTTTCCCAAAGAAGGAATAGAATCACAACTTTTTATTTTTCTGTGTTTTTATACATAACAGTACAATTACATTTGTAAAATATCATTGGTAAAGAACGTACCAATTGAAAATTATATCGTCTTAAAAATTGAAATTTGGTACTTTTTCCAAATTTTCAACTGTAATATCTCAGTTTCTTTCAAATTGTGCTCGCGTCGCCGGTTTCGCGGTTGTGGAATTTGAGTAGAACCATCCCAGCATTCGCGTGGATGACCGAGGGAAACCACGAAAACCGCAGATAGGATAGCCGGCACGAAGATTCAACCGCGGCCTCCGGAATGCGAAGTCAGCGCGCTACACCCTGGGCCACTCGGTAGGAATGTAAATACTTGTCCATAATTGTAACGTTGGTCTTCTACTCTTTGAGTGTCACGCGGGTCCGGCCCCTGCGCGCGGCTGCAGAAAGCACACAAGCTGAGTGGGTGGGAGCCGCGCTCGTGCGGAGCAGAGGCCTGAAGCCTTGCGGGCTGGGCGGGCCGAGCAGGGCGGGTAGGGCGGTACGGAGGCCGGAGGTCGGCGGCGGAAAGGCGGCGGGCCGGCGAGCCGCGGCAGGTGGGCGAGCATCTGGCGCGCAGGCGGGACAGGAGCGCCTGAAGTCTTGCGGGCGGCGGGGCTGTTGGCGAAGGCGGCAGGCGCGGGTGACGGCGGCGGCTAGGCAGACAGGGCAGGGCAACCCGGCGGAAGCAGCGGCGGACGGGCGAACGGGCAGGGGGACTGGCGGGCGCGGGCGGGAGCGAGCTGGCGCGCGCGGCGGGCAGAGGCCTGAAGACTTGCGACCGGCGGTGGTTTGACGCGCGGGGCGTTAGTTGGCGGGTGGCGGACGGCGGCAGATCCCTGAAGCATTTCGAGCGGCAGGCGGCGCGGGCGGGCGAGCTGGCGCGCGGGCGGCTGGGCAGCCAGCCGGCCACCCGGGGCGACGTAAGTAAATAAGGCGATCAAAGGGCCGCCAAGGTGCGAGCAGCCCTTTGGGCCACGCTGCCGCCGGACAAAGGGCTCGCTAATGAGGGACGGCGCGGGGGCAGGCAGGGTAGGTCAGGCCAAGAACGTGTGTGTGTGTGGAAGGAGGCTGCGAGAGGTAGAGGGCGGCCCGGGCAACAGCAGAGGAAGCGGGTAGAAACGAGAAAGGGGCGTAACAGCGTGCTCATAGTCCACGCAGCACAAAGGTGCGGTCGGGGCAAGAACATTGGGGTAGACGCTGGATGTGGATGTGCGGTGAAGCAATGGGTTCATATGTGGGCTCGCAAGAAATTAATGGAGAATAAAGGAGTGGACCGCAGGCCCACTGGCTTTAGGTTTCAGTGACTTACCTCCTTTGCTTTCAATATCTAGTGAAAGTCTTCACATAAACCCTACCCTGACTCGAGCGTTTTTCCAAATCAAACGCAGAAAGCAGGTAAAAAAACCACACGACAATGTAATATTGGTTTACGCGTAAAATGATACTATGAAGTATACTTTAATCTTTGTAATATGCGAGTACGTGAGGCAGATTATATCATTATCATATTCACCGTCGCAAAATGTTTCATAAAAAATACTTTAGACAAATGAAAGGTGGCCCTCTTCAGTTATTTTCACTGGTGAAGTGGCGCGTTCAAAAATCTGTCTCTAATAAACCTGTACTCGTTTCGTCCTCGTAGAAAACAATGTTATTAAAGATTTTAATAAATGTTGGATTAATGACTCCTCTCCAAGTGAATGTTTAATTTTCGCAATAGTTAATTTATTGAAATACTAATAAATCAGATGTGAAAACACACGAATGTGTCTGTGCTAAAACTAGACCAAACTATTCAAACATTTATCTCCGGATATCAAATTTCCCAAACAATACGTTATACGACAGCACTGCACGCCTATACCCGATTCACCAAATGGTGGCTCTAAATTCGAATATTTGAGCCCATGCGGAGCGACTAGTCCCCGTATTTGGTGCCCCGCGATACGGTTGAAACGAGACCAATGCGACCAGTACATTTCGATCTCGCTTTCCACATTATACGCATTACTATTAATCACATCTCACATTAATTGCACCCTCGCCGGTGATTCCACAGCGGCCTGAAAAACTTCCTCCTAATTAGTAAGTGTAAGAGCGAAATCAGGGCGAAATTGATGGCTTCTGTGTTCCTGATAATTTCGTTCTAATTACCCTAGAAGTATCCGCATCAGCGTTAGGGTTAATTATTGCGGCGCGTAGGCCAACGCCGCCGCGCCGGTTCGCCCTGTACAGGACGTAAATTATATGGCAGCGGGGGGAGGCACACTGCGCTGGAAGCTCACCTGCTAGCGCTAGCGCCACCTCCCCCGGAAAGCCCGGAGCGATGCGATGCGTAGGCTGTTCATATTTCACGTTCAACGCCCCCCNNCAGTTCCCGCGCGCGCGTGCGGGGCTCAAATCCGAGTGCGAAATCAGCGCAATTCCCAGGCGCGGTGCGGTGCCCGGAGCCCGCGGTTCTGAACAAGGCCCGGCAACTCTCCATCAAAATGGGGACGAAGATATAGGTTGCTACTATAGGATGCGCTAGTGTCGCCGGATACAGCTGCTGGTAACGCTCGCCAACTTTCGTACATAATAATTGGGCAAGAAATACGAATACACTTTGATTATAAGCGATTTCTGAAATAAATTAAAAAAGAAGTTAAATACTATGGGTTTGTCTTCTAAAATTCATTTATTCATAATAATACACGCATGAAAGAAAAGAACAGCGGCGCAATCGTTTGTGTCAAGCGCGTGTGTTTGCTTCCCGAGAACCCACGCGCGATTTAAATAACGTTGGTAGCAGTTCGTATTTTAGTTCGTGTAAGAATGTGATGCTCTAGAGCGCGCCACGTTATATGGGAGTTATAGGACACTGGTTCCGAACACCGGCCGCCCCCGGCTTCGAAGCCCCGACCGCCGGTTTTCGCGCCGCCGGCAACGCCTCCCCCCCTCCCCCCGGCGCCCCCTAGTGGCACGCGCCAGAATGACGCCGAAAGCGAATCCTGGCCGTGGAAGGATTCACCGACTTTGGGAACGGAAACCGCACAAAATCGGTTTACTGACTATTCTGGTGTGGGGAAAATACGGCTATATTGCGTATACGTGTAAACGTTCTGTATTGGACGTCTTTATAACGCATTTCCCCTCAAACACTGTTTATATTACGTTGCTTTTCCCTTACACCGGTGTGGTGTTTGCTGCAAAATTTGTGTACTATATATTTCCATCCATAAAGAGTAATAACTACAACGTCTAAGTATAAATATCAACTAATAGGGATATTTTCCCTTTTTCATCTCTATTTTTCAATATTGTTTTTCTTTCTTTTAACATTTATTTTCTTGATGAGTAAAAGCGGAATGTTTTCACAACTACCTCTGAAATTGTCATGTGTTGTATTGTAACGCATATAACTAAAACTTCCATTTTATAGAACTTTTATACCTGACTCGTTTTCGACAAAATGTTGTGATTGTGATCAAGCATACTTAACTCTTTTAAACTGTATGAACACTTTTAACTCATATGTTGACGTTGGCAAATAACTTCTTCTCCTCTAGTCCAAGCGTACATTACAAAGGGGTTGCCTCAATACCATTTGTAAATAGAGCGTACTTCTTTACACGCGGTTTAATTGAAATATCATTATTTAAATTTCTCTCAATTATAAAAATTGAAATGATTTTTTGATTAGTTATTTGATCATAAATAAAGAAACGTATTTGAACAAATATGAAGAAGAAATCCCAATCACAATAAAAATGATATAACGTGAGGCGCTCACAATAATAACGGCTGATTCCAACCTAAGTTCGTTTTGAGAATTTTTTTTTCTGTTTTCGTTCACGTTTATTTTCACTGCGGATAACATTTTGATGATGGAATTTGAAGTTTTTCCCTTATCTCAGTTCATTTGTTATTTCAGCATGTGATAGGTATACGACAGGAGTTTACCATCATACTTCTAACTGAAAATACGAAGTCGATTGGGATCACCCGATTATCCTGAGCGCCTTAAATTATATCATTTCTATTGTAATTGGCTCTTCATATTTGTTCAAGTACGCTTCTTTATCCATGATCAAATAACTAATCAAAAATGATTTCAATTTTTATAAATAGATAAATTTAAGTAATGATATTTCAGTTGAAACACGCCTCAGCGCGTGTAAAGATTTATCCAATGGAGAAAAAAAATACGAGAGAGTACAATATTATTTTTATTATTAATTTGTTTCGCTGGCGCGGCCGTTCGTTCCGTTAGGGTCCAGCGCGCCCGGCCCCCTCTCCGCGAAAGCGTAAGTAACGATGGAGTTAGCACCGCTGCCCGCCCGCTATCACGCGCAGTCCTCGCCGAGGGCTGGTGGCCCCGGCTTTACGCGCTGCTGTTGCGGCGGAGGGCGGGGGCGGGGGCGGTGGCGTGGGCGACGCGCGCGGCGGCGCGTTTTATTCGCGATGCGTGTCGCATTGTACACGTGCCCACGCGTGCGTCGGGCGCTCTCGCGTTGAACCCGCCGTGCGTTCCGCGGAGGCCGCTCGTGTTGTCCGTACGTCACTGCGACTTCCTAACTCCTGTTTACCCTCTTCAGCCGCCGCGGTTTTCATGTCGCTCGTTTTGCTGTAACAGTGGTAGAACTTTAAAAAAAGGACATGTTTTTTTGTGATGCTCGTGAATGTTTTGGGTTCGTGTGTGATGTACTGTGCAGCTGTTGACTCGGAGTGTGTATTCAAAGGTGGTTCTGTCATCATAGAAATGAATGAAAATAACTAAATTTTTAATGATCTCTGCGAGGTTCTTAGGTATTGTTGTAAAACTGCGTCTTCTGATACATGTTTTTATGAGTATTAAAAAGCGTCCAATCGTCGGTCTAAAATATAATGTCGGCTGTTGAGACTTCCTCATTACATCTTATGATAGTGCAGCTTTTGTAATTCATATGTATTTATTATTACATTTATATTTATTGGCCATTTAACTAAATTAAAACGCACTCGTCATCTTCAAACCTCTAACACTTTCACTTCCACACTTTCCGTTCTGCATTTAATGTTGACAAGCAACCGTTCATTTCCATATTTAGTACTATTTATATATCTAATTTCGTAATAAGAATGTAAGTGTTGGTTACGGCTTGTGCTTTGCTCAAGACTTGTGGGCATGTGCTTTGATTGAGATTGTTCGTGGAGAAGAACAAATAGTTTCCAATTGTACTGTTCATTTTATAATCCTGTTATTCTTTCTTCACGATCACTTTCTTCACGCGTCTTACGTTACAAGAAGTGAATGCAACGATAGCACCTGATCCGCGTTTCAGAATTACCCATCCCCCTTGTGTACGAGCACAACCGTAATTGCTTTATTCATCCTCGATGCCTCGGTCCCACCCTTTGCGCATTGTTTCCTCTCCTCTCTTCAACTCCTCTCCCTTTCACGCGTTCTCGCCGCCTCCCACGCCTCCGGCAGCTTCTCGCCCGCCCCGCACTCGCCGGGCCTGTGCTCGGCCCCGCGCGGATTTAGTTGCTGTCATTTGTGTAACAATAGTCAATCAGGGAGGCATATTGATCGACGCTGCTGTCACATCCGCACCCCGCCCCCTCCCCCTCATCGGGCATCCCCCCGCTCCTCCTCTCTCCGGGGCTCGCGCGTACCGGCCACCGCCATCCACGTCACCGCCGCAACCACCGCAGCTGCCTCGTCTGCCCTCCCCACATGCCGCCACTGCCAAAACCGCCTCTGTCAGTCCCGTTATCGCCGCCACAGTAGGCTCATCGGCGTGGAAAGTGCAGCCCAGCGCTGCCACCGTC